TTTCTGAACAACTCACCTATCCTTCCATACCACCATTAAAAACCTAGGCGTTACCCTCGATCAAAGCCTCTCCTGAAAACCACACATCTCCCAAATTTCCCACCGTACTATATCCACCCTGAAACAGTTTAACCATCTACGTTATCTTCTTCTGTTCAAAACCCATCAACTCCTGGTCTCCTCGATTGTTTTCCCCCACTTTGCTGCATGGTGTATGGTGGACTCTCGGGAGAACTCGAAGCTAAACTTAAACGTCTAATGAATTGCTCAATCCGTTTTATTTTTGGGATCTCAAGGGATACGCATATTACCCAGTTCTACATCAAGTTGAAGTGGCTTTATCCGTCCTTCCGCTGTCAATATTTCCTTGCAACCTTCCTATACCAAGCCATTAGAACACGGTGACCTGCTTATATTCTACAGATCCTACAATTCAAACGCTCCTTTCAATTCCATCCCACCAGATCCCGTGCGTCCGACCTCTATTCTCCTCCTCACCGAACTGCTGCGTTTGATGAATCCTTTTTAATACAAGTTGTCTCCCCCTGAAACTCTATACCTTCAGATATTCGACACGAAAAATCTATATCCTCTTTCAAATCTCTCCTCTCCAAACACCTACTCCATTCCCAATCCAATTGATAAAAACCTCAAAGTACACTCAGATACTCTGATTATTTTGTGATTCATCGATATTTCGTTTACTTAATTAATTTCTCTATATATTTTATATTTACATGTTCTTATATCTTTTTATTATTTATAACTTTATTGTATTCCTAATCAACCTGTAAATATTAAATTGTATTTTATGAACACACCAAAATATTAATATATATTCTGTATTTGTAACTTATTCTAAAGGGACACTAGTCCCAGAATAATAAAATTATTTTCATTCATTCATTCATTCATAGTATATATTTAACTTGTCCAGCTTCATATAAGCCTAACAATAGTTTGAGCCTTTTATTTCTAATATTTTCATTGTGTTATATTGTGCTTCCTTGTCTATTTCATAATAATTATACTTATATCACAATATAATATAAATAATATATATATTTTTTTCTGGCTTTACAGACCATGTAGATCTTTTACCGCCTTAACAAGCTTGCTCCATCTCTGCCTGTCTTGGGCTATTTCTTTCCATTTATTTGCACGTAGCTCTATTGCATCTTTGTTGATTCTATCTATCTATCTGCTTTTTGGCCTTCCACGTGGTCTTTTGCCTTCAGTTGAGGCATTCATTGTTACGTAGAGGCTTCCAGATGGTTTGCTAAGAGTTACATGCCCTGCCCATCTTAACCTCCATGCCTTCATATCATGAGATATTGATTGACCAGTTCCTGTAAGTAGTTCTTTATTGGTCTTTCTTCTCTATGTGTTAGTGCTTTGATCCCAGATCGCTCTGGTTATTGTGTGGAGGATTTTTCTCTTAAATCTTACAACTCTTTTTTGGGGGATTTTCTTGAGATTTTTTTGGATTTTAACACCTTTGAAAGAGAAAAGAAAGCTGTGTTTGTCTATTCTATTATTTCTATTGATACGCTAGTCTATTTCTATTATATGTAATATAATAAATAATATATTGCATTTAAGGGGAAATGCCTAGATTGATAAATAACTTGTCAACAAGGTAAAATCAAACTACCAACTCCAGATGAATATCCGTACAAATTTTTAGTCTCAAATCTGTATTTTGTATCAGGAGAGTAGGCGATAACAGGAATTCAACACATATGTAATTAAATGAACAGCTATATAATTTGTAAAATAATTGCCTAATAAGTTGAACTCTTGTTATCTCCAACTCTCCTTTGCCAACACAAAGATGAGAAGGGAAGAAGTTTGTTTTCCAACGATGGGTAAAGAAAGCATACACAACTGTAGTAATGATAATGGATTTTGGCTAATAAATTTTGCCATCTCAAAACCTAATAATTAAAAGTACTACATTTAAAAATAATGATATTCACAAAAATACTTGGACATCACCGGATTCGCAAACATGAAATCAAATCGATAACGTTTGATACAACATAGGTGGCAAAATAGTATAATTAATGTTGTCTTATCGCGGGGCAGAATGTGGGTCAGACCATGAATTAGTAATTGCGAAAATTCTACAAAAACTAAATATAAAAATGAGCAAAGGAAGCCTTTTCGATGCCGAGAATATAAATTCAAAAATTCATCAATTAGAACTCAATTCGAGCTTGAAGTTAACAATAGGTCTGAAGCTTTAGAATCTTCTGACGAGGACTGTGATGATATAGATAGATAAGTTATGGGCAGAGATCAGGGATAACATTAAAGAGGTTGATAACTTGTGCCATGGAAAAAATAAAATAAAAAGAACAAACCTCAACATCAAAATGGTTTGATGAAGATTGCTTAAACATGTGCGAAAAAATAAAAGCCACTAAATTAAAAGATCAAAATAGTCCCAGCGAAAACAATCTGGAATATTTCCGAGCCTTAAAGAATGAAATTAATAAAATGTTGGGGAAAAAAAAGGTGTGAGCAGGTTCTATTTTTCACTTATTTTTAATTTTAAAAAAGTAAAAAGGGATTAAATTTTTTCACTGGTGTTAAATAGAGAAATAAAATCATTGGAAATTATTATCCAATGGTTTATTATATTCAAATAGTTATAAGTTCAACTAGAGGGAGTGATTTGTGATCGCATCCAGTTATCATAAACCACGTTCTCACTGGGTATCTATATAAAAGAACCAAACAATCACAACTGTCGCCTAGAACAGTCCTATAGCTGCTAGAATACTAATGGTGGAAGTCACATAAGTCAAGAGGTGTTAGCAAAAAAAACTTTACCTACAACATTGGAAAACATTTATACACAAAGATTAGGACGTTTAAAAATAAAACCGATGCAACACCTAAACCGATTTTAATGAAAGATGGCCAAAGTCTTCTCCTCAAAGACCTTTAAATGTATGTCTGTAATAAACTTCACCCAAAAGAAGAAGGAAAAAATAATTACAATGTTAACATTGGATATCCGAAAAAAAAACCAAAAGTATTAATTTTTTAATGGATATTGTATATGGACATTTGAAAGTATACTAAATTACCTAAAAAATCATTAAAATTGGACGATTTGGTAAAACGATGTGTTGTTCCAAATATTCTAAAGCTGACCATTGTTTTGTATAAAAGAAACTATATGATGCATCTTTGTAATTACTGGACAGATTTCGATGATAGTTTTTTTATCATTTAGGAAATTTAAATGTCTTCAAAATATGTTCTAACCCCAAAAGGGCAAAAAGTACACTCTTTTTGAGTTATTCACAATTCAGTTTTGTATTCGTCACAACTCCTTTTCTAGCCCTTTTTTGAAAAAGTATGTTATATACATAAATTTATAGTGTTTCATGGGGAATACTTTATCAACACCGTTGGAGCTGTTTTAGTGTCGCCATCTTGAAACAAATTGACGGCTGGTGATGAGACCCCCACAAAGGCACCCCTCCAACACCAACTTAATATATTTACAAAATTTTAACCTTCCGACTTTGTTAGGAGGAGTTGTGGAGATCCGTAATACTTTTAAAACAGAGAAAAATGTGAAAAAACTATCTTACATGCCAACATTGTGGCAAAATTTTACCAATTTTTAATAGTATTATTCCATCTGGGAACAAACTCTATATACCGAATTTCAGCTTATTTGGTCAAACAATATATATATATATAAAACTAACATATCTAAAAACTGCATAATCGTGCTCTAGAAGGATTCCAAAACGGATAGGAACCGCAACCCTGCCTTCCACTGATGACTTTAGATACAGTGCAAATAGTCTATTATTTCTGAAGAAAAATAGATAAAAAGGGAGTATCTTAAAAATAAAATAATAGATATAGAAACTAATAGAATTTTTTTCTCATACTAGGTATCTAGTATGCTAGGTAACTACTTAGCAAATAAAACAACTGGGTTTATTGAATCCTTTCTCATTTTCTAAAGATTAAATACCTACTTTAAATGTGTTCATGCAGACATCAGTTTAACAAAAGGTTTAAGTGATTTTCAAACAAAATACGAAATGCCAGTATTAAGCATTAAATTCATACAGCTTTGTGCCATTATTGAAGGGAAGATTATAATTCTACAAAAAAAATATAGAACAGCTCTAAAAACAATATCTAATGAGTAGGGAATGATAAAAAAGAAAAATCATGATAAAAAGTTATTTTGAGATAGGGGTGCACCCATATATTGCAAGGATATTTATTATTTTGAAATAACTATAAATTTGTGACTATCTACATAAGTGAAAGCTGTTATGTTGGATTTATAATGAATTATTGAATACATTGTTATAGCAGTCACAACTATTAAGTTAAAAATTATTTAACTACATAAATTATTTTTGCGAAAACAAAAGACAACAATAACTAACCCTGGAAGTTATAGAAGTAAAATATTATTCTTAGTTATTTGGCTATAATTACTTCCAATTAGCAAATATTGAATATATTTTTTGTATTATCAAAGTTACAAGTTTACGTTTCGGGATATTTACGGGATATTTACCACAATCCCAATGATCTTGTGGATGCAAGGCTTAAAAATAATGTGCTCCATCGTCAGTTTCTAGTTCATGTAATAAAAATCTAGGCATATAACATCTACAGCAACATCTTGCTTTTAGACTAACAATTGGGTGTCAGCCAATTATTATTAATATTATTTTTAAGCCTTGCATCCACAAGATCATTGGAATTGTGGTTCTGAAGATGGGAGTAAATATTCCGAAACGAAAACTTGTAAACATGTAACTTTGATAATACAAGAAATATATTCAATAATTGCTAATTGGAAGTAATTATTGCCAAATAACTAAGAATATTATACAACTTCCCAGAAAAAAGAAAAAAGAAGTAAAATATTACTTATATTCAATGCAACATCACTTGAAACAAATAAAATAAAATGGACAATAATTGTCTTTAATATAATAAATTACTTTTTTTACTATTTCAGATGTTTGAAGTTCACCAGTTTCTGCATTAGTTTCTTGAATACCAACTGCCACAGTTGACAAGGAAGAATCAACAATACCAACAGCTTCAAATCCTAATTCAGAAACAATATCACACCAAAACATTGGCTGAGTTTTTAATGTTTTACCTAAAAAAAATAAAATAAAAAATCTTCAGAACAGCTGGTCACACCCAATATCTAGTAATAATAACAAGATTATTATGTTAGGAGCAGCATAATGAACTTTTTACATGGAAAGATGAGGATCAAGTTTAAATTTGAGGTATGCTTATATAAAAGATTTAAAAAGCCAATTTATTAACAAAACAAGCTTTGAAAGATAAAATTATAAAAACATGGCAATATACTAGAAGAAGATTGTTGTAAATATGAACCTCTTAACCTTAATATTCATGGAAAACATGTTATAACATAACGACAAAGCTACTGCTAATCTTTAGCTGAATTACATTCGGTCCAGCGGTTTGGTTTGTGGAACCAATAAGAAGAAAATACTTAAAAATGAACCTAAACCCCTACAAGAAAATAACGTCTATAATAAATTGGAAAAAAAAAATCGACTTGAAGCTTCAATTACAATATCTGAACTGAAGCAACGAAAGGTAAACAGATACTGTATATTCATTACTGAAACTTTAAAATATGTTATGCATATGTAATGGGGAATATTTGAAGTACCTTTTCCTGTCATATTTTCACCAGCGATTCTCCCAGATAAAACAGCATGATCATGATGTTCAATCCTGCGTCTACCAAACTTAGTGTCATAGTAAGAAACACAGTCACCTGCCTGAAAAAATATATACAACTTTATCACAATCCTGTGAACATACAATAACCACAAGAAATAAAAATGAATCTTTTGAGTGAATAGAACATAAATGGTAGAGAGAAAACTCTAACCAACATAATCAAAGTTTACAATATTATTATTGAAGTATGAAGTTCAATTAGCATTTGTATTGGATAAAAACAAAACTGACCATAATTGTGTCCAAATGTAAAGGTGATAAAGAGTTGCATGTATGAAATTAAAGTAATCCAAAGGCAGTCCTTTAAAAATTTGTCTGAGTAGCAAAAGAGATTTTAAAAAATAAGGTATTGAGTTGCTCCTTCTTAACCATAGTTTCTAAAATAGAGCTATCAAAAGAATAATCATATTTTTTGGAAAAGATTCAACCAATTACTCAACCAAGAAACTCTTTTATTTATAATTTCTAAGGAAAAGTTTTAATCTAGATAGGCAAGAAGTGGGAAAGTTAAACATTTAAAGTGAAGCTTGAGTGAAAAATAGCTATCAAATAAATTCCTGTTTGAAATGAAATGTAATTAGGCATGATCATAGATAAAGAAAAATAAATTTAATCTGATTCCCCACATACAAGATAGCTCAGAGTTGGTATTCTTGACTAGGACACCAACTACAAGTTACTTTGCAGTTCGTGCAGTTACAAGTACGTTGCAGATAAAATAGAAAGAACATTTAAACAATATGATGTAAATGAAATTAAATGTGCAAGCAAACCAATTAATAAAATAGATACAATTTATTCCAAAACTAAAGATAAAGTACCTACCGATAAATTAACGAATATTATTTATAAAATAAATTGTAAGAATTGCAACAACAAATCATATTTTGGACAGACACCACAATGGTTTGAAAAAAGGCTTAAACAACACAAACAAAATTGTAATTCAAAAAACACTAAAATTAAATTAGCTACTAGACTCTCTCAACATACTATGCAAACAAAACATGAATTTCATTTCAAAATCCTGCATAATGAAAGTAATACTAATAAATGAAGAATAAAGGAAGCAATATACATAACTAAAAACTTAAAAAACTCGGTAAATAATCATACAGGGGATAATATGAACACATTTTACACAAGTTCAATTGAAAAAATCAAAATTTGAAATGAATTAGCTAATATTACTTAAAATAGGTCCGCAAATAGGTAGGCAAATAATATTGGGAAACATCATTGTATATGATTATAATAAATAGTCTTCCACTACTCCTATAAGAATAACCAGTCACTGAATAGAAATGAGATCGATGATATGTGGGGGACACATGATAAGGTAATTTTAACATATCTGAATCGTTTAATAAGAAAGAATTGAGTAATAATGATGTTATAAAATAATTAAAGGTGGACATGACAAGAATAAAACCTTTTAGTATGAGTAGACGCATGCAATTCGTATAAGTGAAATGGACAGGCACATGATGGGTATTTATGTATATAAAAAATCTTTATATTTTGAAATATGTAAAGTTTAGATATGATTGTAAATTGAAAAATTTCTTAAAAAATGATAAAAATCTTTTTCTTTTTTTTCAAAATCAATAATTGATTGGTTCAATATTTTTTTTTTCTTGATAAAAACTTAAATAGGACAAGAAGGTACTAATTTCAGTATACACAATACTATTGTAATAACTCACTGCATATAAATCACGTCTCACTTCAAATTCAGCATTAGCAACATAGCCACCTAATGTTTTATCCACTTCTATTCCAGCTCCTTCAGCTAATTTAGTATTAGGTACAACACCCGCAGCAACAATAACATGATCAGCAGTAATCTTAAAAATAAAAAATATTCATATACTTCAAAATCTATTCTTAAAAATAATAATAAACAATTTAATTTAACAAAAATATTTTAAACTATTATAGAAGTAGAATAATATAAAAATAACAAAAGGCTTAGCGAACCCAAAGGTTCGATGCAGACACCACCATCGCTTGTTACACACCTTCCACCATTCATCGTCCAAACCCAATCCCTTCAGATTGGCTTTGACACAATCTTCACACCTTCACTTCGGTCTACCCCTTGGACGTTTATCATTCAGTACAGCAAATATTAACCTTTTAGGAATTCTTTCGTAACTAATTCCAACAATTTTACAAGTCCATTTGATTTGCCATGATGTAATCACTTCAATTATATTAACCAGATACAGTTCATGCAATTCGGCATTGTGTAACCTTCTGAACTCACCAATTAACTCGTCCTTCTTCGGTCCGAATATTATATGCAATACTTTATTTTCAAAAACCTTAAGACATTGCTCATCCCTAAATGTAAGTGACCACTTTTCACATCCATAAAGAACTGTAAGCAAGATAATGGTTTCATGGATTCTAGTTTTTAAATTCCGGGACAAGAGGTGCGAGCTAAGTAGTTTTGTCACAGAAAAATAACAAGCATTTCCCGCCTTCAGTCTAACCTTAATCTCCTCTTCAATTTCATTTTTTTTTTTCTAGTTATCGTAAACCCTAGATACCTAAACTTCTCTACCTGTTCAAGCATATTACCTGCTATATCGATATCAGAATCGATATAGAAGTAGAATAACAATAATTATTACAAGTAAAGTGGATATTGTTTATAATGACCAGGTAATTTGAAGGGACCAGTAAACTTTGTTGTTATATCCGATCACCATTATAAAAGTATAATATTTATAATGACCATAGTCACTATATCCATCCATCTGTGACTGGCAATAACAGCTGTAGTCGTAATATTGAAAGAAAATAAGTATAATGTAAACAATTTAAGATAAGTGGTCTTAAAAAAATGCCTTATTTGAAAAGAAAATGTACTAACGATATTTAGAATCTGTAATATATACTCCTACAGACATATGTTTTTGTTATAAAAAATAATGAAATTCTTAACAGTAATTCTGTCTCTAGATAAACTTCCATTAGAACATTTTTTCATACTTAAAATACAGAGTCCAGTCAAGCATCAACTTATAAAAAAAATCCATTTCCCACTCCCCAGATCCTTATATAGTAATCCTTCAACACCATATGTTTGACTTCTGAGAGTTTTGTTATGTGCTAATACAAAAATTTAGGAGAATTCCATATTTATGAATTGTGTATTGGACTATCTGTGGGTATACAGTAGGTCAGTGTGTCATAAAAATTCAATTTATGTGTCTTTTTTTTAACTTAAATATTTTATCGGTAAAAATTTCTCCTCAAAATATCTGAGATAAATTCAATCCTTCATCAACTCATTAAAAAATTTGTAGATTATGATCCCTTTCTTGTTCAAAATTTGAAGTTTAAGAGGGAAATTGAGCTGTTAAAAAGACACAAAAAACTATCAACCAATCACACGTAAATTTTACAATTTACAAGCAAGAGTTAATTAATTGCTTAGGGATTCTTAAAGGAAGCTTCTAAACAAGACTAGAACTTACCCTTACCCATAGTGCCAAGAAGAAAAATCGTATGCTACATGGACATTTTATATGCCACATAATAATAGAGAACTGTTTAATTATCACATATTATATAATAGCTTCTTTTACTATTTCTAGCCAAAAACCTTAAGTAATATTGAATAATTTTAAAATAAAATCAAAATGTATTTGATGTAAATAAACTACTTACCACTTGATTATCTGAAGTTGTCATATTTACTTTATTATTTACAAGTTCAGCTTTTACAACCTCAGCATTATTAATTATATTTACACCCCCTTGTTTAATTTTTTCAGTAACTAATTGAGCTAAATATTCTGGTAAGATTTTAGCTAAAAGATTTTCTTCCTTGAAAATTTGTACTACTTTGACACCTAAAATTTCAATTAACAGAAAATAATTTCTATGAAAATAAATAAACAAGAAGTTAACAAATAAACGGTATTTACATTTAAAATTGAATGGGAAAAGCTAAAAATAAAGTGCTAAAATAGCTTGTCCTACATGTATAGTCACATTTTACTTGTCACAAAGAAATCACTTTTACTTATTTTATAGTTCATTTTCAAATATATTTATGTGGAGAATGATTTCATAAAATTTAAACATATTGAGCTTTATCTCATCTGGTGTTCTTTTAACCATTACCCAAGAGGAAATTTAATAATACATTGAAAAATCTCTATATTTCTATATATTGTTTGCCAACAATACATACACACACACACATATATATATATATATATATATATATATATATATATATATATATTTTTTTTTTTTTTTTTTTTTTTTTCTGATGCTCTTAAATTTTTTTTTTTTTGTTATTTAGTATAATATTTAATGACATGATTTTTTTTCCTTATTAAGCATCATGCCAGTCCTGAATATGAGAGAATCAACAATATATACTGAGCTATGTTAGAACTATAATTATTACTGTTATCCTCAGAGTACATAAATATGTTCTCAAATATTTTGTCATTCACAAGTAACTTTTGTTCATAGAATCCTAGAATAGATTTCTTCCTCTTTTTTTCCTACATCCATATACCTTTCAGCATGAAGGTATATGGAACCATCTGATCAATATCTCAAACCATCTGATCCATTCTTGTCTGTATCATTTGAGCAAGATTTTTGCTCTTTTTTTCTTCCAGCTTGCAGATATATTCACTATATGTAATCCTGGGTCTTCCTAGTGACCTCATGCCTGAAGGTCTAGCCTCCGACATCTTCCTTGAGTGTCGGTCCTGACTCATCCTGCATACATGTCTGAACCACCACAGCTGACATATGTGTAAAAATTTAATGCAGAGGTCCATAAGTATTCTCTTGTCCTTTCAATCATAACAAAACCTCTTCTTGTTTTCTCTGCTACTCTGCATAGCTATTTCATCTCAACTAACTGTTGTAAGTCGGTAGATATTTTTAAACCCAACTCTCACTTCCTTACATAAGGGTAGAGAAAAACGCTGCTTTAAAAATATAGAGTTTAACTAGATTATTCACTTCTCATATGCCTACAATGGTATTAAAAGTCTGATAATAGAACTCATTTGCTTCCTTTATTCTATTTGAAATTTCTTGGTCTATTCTTTCCGCATTGCTAATAACTGTTCCCAAGTAGGCATAATCATTAGTGTTTTCCAATTCTTCTTCATTTCAGTAGAACTGTGAAATTCTTGTTTCTTCAACTATAAATACTTTACTCTCGGAAGTCCTCGTGCCCTTATGCAAAAGTTTCTCCTGCAAGTAGCACAATATCATCAGCGAATAGATATATTTGGAGAAGGTTGTCCTGAGATTCCACTTTCCAATCAATGTCCGGAGAGATTAGGGAGAATAGAATTCTAATTTATATTATTTTTTTAATGGTTAAATATTCAATTCTGCCACTTTTTCATTTTAAGGTAAATATACACATTCATATCAAACACACACGTACATAATAATCAGTAATAATAATTGTAAATAAATTATAATCAACAAGAAAATTATAACAGCGTTATATTGTTTCTTTAATTGGATAGAGATGATGAAGTGAAAGTAAGAAGATTATAAAAATCTGTCAGGTCATGTTAAAAACAGCAACTAACTATTAAGGCTCTGATACATTTCTAAATTTAAGTTTGGCTCTAACTATTTTAAAACAGAAAAATAAATAAAAAACAATTATCAACGTACAAATCATTACTATGAACATGAAATATCAAATAACTGTTTATTTTAACATGAAACTGTTTCATACCTCTCTTAGATAATGATCCAGCTAATTCTGTACCACTGAAACTACCCCCAATGATAGCTACTGTCTTAGTTTTGTCATCCATAATATTCTCTAATTGCAAAAAGTCATCAAGGTACCTATAATACAAAACCTGAAATCAAACAGGAAAAATAACTACATTGTATTATATAATAAATTGCTACATTAAATAAACATCAATCATAGCAAAAATATAATAATATACCATAAACTTAACCAAGCAATGTACTTAAAAACAAAAATCGTAATTATTCTTAAGGGACTTTGTCACAGAGTAAAATATCGTTTCATTTCATTTTGTAATCTACTGAATAAAAATGTTCATTTCTAATTCAATGTCAAATAACACAATCAATACAGAAAAATAACACTTCACTGATTAATGACCTAAGGAAATACAGTAATCACATCTCAATATTGTATAAAATAAAAAAAAATAATGATTTTTTAAAAACATTTTATAGTTTATATGAATAAAAAAAAATAATAATTATATATATATATATATATATATATATATATATTTATAATTTGAAAAAATAAAATATACATGCCTTTTTCAATAAATCAGGATCCTGTTTTGCAAATACAGATAAATGTTTTGGATACGAACCAGTAGCAATCAAACATTTATCATATTTGATTATTTTCCCCCCTTCTATTACAGCTCTTTTATTGGTATGTTCTATTTGTTTTACTTTCCACCCTCGAGCTACAGCAACACCACCATATTCTGAGGTACTTAACTCTTCACAGTTAAGATAGAATTCTTCTGGTTCAAAAAAAACACTAAAAAAATTAGATATTAGCTATTATGAATCATAAATGAAATAAAAATGACAATATATATTATTTTTCAAAACCTTCGTTTTTTCCCGTTCCATTGAATGAAACTAAAATTGCCATCCCCTTCTTCATTAGATTTATTAAATATAAGTTCTTTTGTCAATGGTGGTCGCATATATGGGTAGTGTGATTCATTAGTAATAACGAGTACCTACAAACAAAACAGAAAAGAAATATTATAAATTTTAAAAAAATTATTACAATAGGTACATTCATTTTTACAACCCAGTTTCATATTCCTTGATGACTTTTTACAATTAGAGAATATTATGGATGACAAAACTAAAACAGTGGCTATCATAGGAGGTAGTTTCAGTGGTCCTGAATTAGCTGGATCATTATCTAATAGAGGTATATAACAGTTTTATGTTAAAATAAACAGATATTTCACATTTTAAGAGATGGTTATAGACCTCAAGGGCCACAAAAATGTTCATAGAGACCAGGCCTAGCCAACACACAGCCTGCTATATTTCTTTCAAATTCAAACTTTAGTTTCTTGTTGAACATAAACAAATAGTAAAAATCTGGTGCGATACATGCAACAAACAACTTTCACTTATCACCTTAATAGTAAAGTAAAAATAGGTCTTTTCATCATTTGATGTTTTAGGCTCAAAACATCTAAGTCATTAGTGCCCGTAATAAAGTAATACTAATATTAAAATATTTAGCTGTTAGCTACTGAAAGTAAAAATTATAGATGGTACAACATTTTATTTGAAACAATTAATTACTATATGTTTTCCTCGTCTAATATATTAAATTTATGTGTTTTTCGTCACTAACCATTTCCTTTTACAACTGTATGTTTTAATTATTTATTTAATTATAATAAACAATTAAGTGCTACGAATTCTTTTTTAGTCTGACAAGAGTGTCAGTAAGCAAATAATTTATTCATTAATTAAGGAAGATAGTCCGGGGTAGCGGACATAAAAAGGCTAAATAGTGGCAAGACTATTTTATTAAAATCCAACGTTTCGACCTGACTTTGCAGGTCTTTTTCAGGGCTAGAACAGACAAGATACAAAAATATATAGAGAATTGTGGAAGTTACATAATATTTAGACAAAAAATTATAAACAATGTGAATAAGCTTATTAAAATTATAAACAGTAAGTACATTAAAATATAAACAGAGTAAGCTAAGTAACAAGATCCTAAACTGAAGTAAATAAATGGTAACAATTGTTGCAGTATAATATATAATGTATGCAATTGTGAATATACTTCTACAGATCTACAGGAGAGATTGGAAGAAAAGGAAAAAGGATAAAATATGAAATAATGGACATAAAGGGATGTGAAGAAAGAAAACAAAACAAAAAAATACAAAATAAGTAAATAAAATTAGAACAATAAAATAGAGACTTACAGGTGTGTTCAGCAAGGAGTTTCACTTAGATCTGGAAAATCAAGGTAAGGGTAAGGTATTGGGGAAATTTGTTGACCTGCTTGGGTAATGGTGAGGGGGTAAGTAATAAAAATAAAAATTAAAAAACCTGGAAAATCGCAGTATCTAAATTTTGAAGATATGGATGGGATACAAGGAGAAAATACTATATCTATGAAATTATAAATATGTACGTTTTACTTCTTTCATTTTAATTTGTATTGACATTGTACTCCTATCTATAATTTCTTAATTCTGTTTTATATCCATTTGTGTATATTTATAAACTTAGTCTGTTTATATTTTAATGTACTTAGTTTTTATAATTTTAATAAGCTAATTCACATTGTTTATAATTTTTGTTTAAATATTATGTGACTTCCACAATTCTCTATATATTTTTGTATCTTGTCCATTCTAGCCCTGAAGAAGACCTGAAAAGTCGGGTCGAAACGTTGGTTTTTAATAAAATAGTTTTGCCACTATTTAGTCTATTTATGACTGCCACCCTGGATCATCTCTTTCCTTAATAATGCAACAATATTAAATATTCAATTTTATTCATTTATTTTTCATTGTGAGTATATTTTTTGTTTAAAAACGTTTATACATACAGATTTTAATTTTTATATTGCTTTAATCAATACATTTAAATATTAAATAGTACCAACAGTATTTGATAAAACCGTACATGTATAAGCAAATAATATTATTGGAACCTGTACACGAAGCTTGAGGGGGCGTTCGGGTTTCCTCAGCTCTCATTATCACCCTATTACCCTGAGCAAGCGCGAATCCCAATTCTCGATCCCTCGATACCATCTCTTATAAACTAAAGGCAGTTAATGATCAATTTTTTTCACTATTTATATTTAAACATTTTTATTCATGATGTGAATTGTGAAATAGTTAATTTTTTAAAACAAACAAAATTAAAGGTACTTTTGAGAAAGACATTTACACCCTGTTAGAGAACATCAATGAGGATAAAACCTACCTTATATTAAAAAACACTTAATTGTACCTTAGCATAATGTAAAAGAACCACTTTTGGTTAGCCAATTTTGATGAATCTTTTGCTGTAACATCCGCAACTTCAGTTTCGTGCGACTTTTCGTTTTTGAGCTAGACTGATAACATACACACAGACCATTTTGCGGGCTTGGTTATTTGAACACAGGGGACCTCAAAATGTTTATTTCAGCTGAAAACTCAGATTCAAAAGTTTTCACGATCGCAATACTTACCTTAACAATATATTACATTTATAGGTAAGTGAAAGTAAAAAATTGCGTATTTCATAGCTATAATGTTCAAGTACCACAATGAAATCTATGTTTCAATGGAAAGACTAAGCAAATATTTCATTAGTTCTCTAAAATCAATTATATTGAATCACAATATAGAGACAAAGTTTTATTATTTTTTTGTATTAAAATTAATTTTTTAAAATCAATTTTACTAAAATGTAGCCCACTATAATGTTATACACCATGAAGCCATTTATTTAGGTTGACTAGGTCTGGTATAGATCTGAAAAGCAGAATATTTTATATTTGTGTTTTTTAAAAGAAATTCACATTTCTTAATTAAACAAACTATTTCATTTAGGTAATTATAAATTGCAGCATCATAAAATAGACAACATTTTTTAAAATAAAAAAATAATTTACCTTCGTTAACAGCATTTTAAGGGGCTTTCAAACAGTTAAATTACATAAAGTTCTTTTCCCCCAATTAAATTTGTGGATTAATGATCAAGAATGTTTTTATAAACCTCTTATTGGATAACAGATTCCTTACTTAACTTTAAACTAAACTTTAAAAAAACTTTCATATTTAATAAGATTTACGTCCATAATAATTAAATTGAAATTCATCTTCAAGTTGCAAAACATTGTGATGTGAAATTCTGTTTCCTCAAAGTACAAGTGTTTTCAGAAAAAAATTACTTAAAAGCTTTTTTTTTTCAGTGACCTGTGATATATTGTAATAATTAAAAAATAGAATAAAAATAAATAAAAAATGAAATTTTCCTATAAAAAAATAAAAATTTTTAGTTAAAATCATAAATTATAATAATGATCCTTAATATAACTTATAATGATAATATAAAATATATTTGAATGAAAATTTTTCAATGTGCCATCCACCCTGGGTTGGGAATTCCCACCCAAGACAAACGATGCTACAATAATCTTTGCCTCTTTGATCTTCATTGTGTTGTATTTTTTGATTTATTCTCAATTGAATGCCACTTTTCAAAAAACAAATATTCACCAATTAAAACCTTAAGAGGTTTTTAGACAAATCTCAATAATGGGAATTGATTCTTATGGCATTAGGTGACCAACTGAATTTTCTTATCTTATTCCATTGATAAATTCAGCCATTTTATTTAATTTTTGCAACCGACCATAGAATGCAATTGATATTTTCATATTCCCTTTAGGTTCTGTAATATTAATTAAATATATACCCAATTATTTTCCAAATCATATTATTTATGAATTGCAATTTTGAGATTTTTGAAAGTAACCAAGAATGAATTTTGAAATAATTGTGAAAGTGAATATTAAAATTTTTTAGATAAATTTTCAAAAAGAAGAGATGATTACAATCTGAAGTAAAAAATGTACAAATTTAGATATTTTGCTTTAAGAAATACATAATTTTTTAATACAATCAATAATTTGTTTTTACTTTACATATTGAATACTTGTAGCCTTGATACTTATTGCCCTTCAATGTAACAAGTTCTATTATCAAACAATAAATAGATTAAGCTTTACATATAAAACTTTTTTTTTTTAAATATAGTATCCTTATTAATATTCTACAAATTTAATCCAGAGAAATTATAGGTATTCATCTCTCCTTTATTTTTAATTTGTTTTTCGCTTACAAAAGTCTACTTAATTGTCTACTTTTGCTGTAGGATCAGATGATTTGATTGCCCTGAATGCAGCAAAGGCAGCAGTACCTCCTCCAACTATAAGATATGGAACTTCATCTGGAATATCCTGAGGTAATGAAGGAAATCTTAAAGTTTTTTGATTCACTGAAAAAAAAAAAAAAATAAAAATGTATTTTCTTTATTAAAAATACTATTTTATAAAGTCAGTAGTTTATAACAATTTAACCAATTCATCAACATTAATAAATAATTCCCAATATAATTTTATAAATACAACAATTCTACCCACAGAAGCAATGTTAATATATGTTCAGTAAAAGAATAATGAAAATAAATATGAAGATGTTAGAAAACACTGTAATAACAGAGACAATGCAACTTATTTGATTAATCTTATTTGGGAAAAAACAATTTAATTTATTCAGGACCTATTAACTGTTGATAGCTTGAGTAATAAAGTTTATGGTGATAATCAATAAATTCCCACATTATTATCTGTTGTTGAGATTGGGCTGCTGGCTGATTCAGAGAATAAATATGAATGATTTAATACACAGAGTATATGGTACTGGGATGATCATCAATAGAAACAAGTTTATAATATTATTTCTCGTATTCGTATATATATATATATATATATATATATATATATATATATATATATATATATTTTTTTTTTTTATTAGGGTGAGTAAAAAACAGACCATTTAAAGGGTTAAAATGAAGTTTATTTTTTTTCTAACTTCAAATTTCTTTTAACTTTTGAAGTAGAGTACATCATTTTCTATGGTTAGTTTTCATCTAGGGAGTCCAAGTCCAAGCTGAGTTTCTTGCAGTGTCTCCTGGGAAATCTTGGGGTTATCTTCAGGTAATCTAAGTAGGCTAAAGAAGAAATTGCATCTCTAGGCATAGGAGGCATTTTCTAAGGTTACCTGGGTATAGTCAGATATGCATCAACCAATGTGGAGGAAGTTGTTGCTGGATGTTCGTAAGAGGTGAGGAGCCAATGTGTCTAGTGACCACCATCTGATCTCTGCAGTAATCCAACTTAGAATAACTACAAAGAGAAATAAAAACACACATTCATTTCTGTGTGTCAGAAAGGATGGAACACAAGTTAACTCAATGATGAAAGAATAAAATAACTGTAAGCTCTGGAACTGTCCAAAAGCTTTAACCCTCTGACTCAAATAATCAAGACAATCCTGATGATAAAAAAAAGTTCAAAAAAGAAGAAAGGAGCTATCGAAAAGAGGTGGAATATCCTGCATGACACTCCAAAGGAAGTTCTTAGTGTGAAAGATAGAAATGAGCCTGAATGGATCACAAGTGTAACCTGTGATGCTATTTTGTACTGAAAGAAAAAGAAATAGTCCTTCAACAAAAGAACCATAGACCAAAAAAAAAAGAACAAAGACGAGCCTACAAGGAAACAAATGACTAGATTAAAATACTGTTCAGAAGGGGCAAGAGGAACTTTATTTACAAATGGGTCATTCTATGTCTATTCAACACATGGTCTAAATATCACAATCTCATATTTTCATAAAATATGGCGGCCTAGGCTACGATGGATGCATGCACCATTCTGGGTATCCGGGACTGTTATTATCCAGGGAATTATTAACTACCAATATCCAAAGCACCAAATTGTAAATACTGTAGTTAACTTGATTAAAAAAACAATGAAACTAACAGACACTAATTTTATAAGGATGGTCAAAAACAATAAATGAACAATAAGAACCCACTTCAGTTCTAAGTGAAACTCCTTGCTGTACACACCACCTGAAGAAGACCTGCAAAGTCGGGACGAAACGTTGGCTTTTAATAAAAATAGTTTTGCCACTATTTAGTCTATTTATGACCGCCATCCCGGATCATCTCCTTCCTTAATAATACAACGGTCAACTATTAAGTATTCAATAAATTTTATATATATATAAATTCATCAACAAACAGTGGCACAAACATATTAATAATAAAAATGATGATAAAACGAAAGATACTAGTCGATACAAAATACCAAATAGTTTTAATATAAGAAATAGTAATATAAATAAAGGAAGTAAAAATAAAAGTCTCATAACCGATTTTTTAAAAATATTAGATAACGAAGAAAATGTAACTAAAGGCAATCAGGATAATAAAAGAAAAACAAAGCAGAAAGAGTAATAAGTACTACAAACAAAATATATCCTAAGTTTATTTATTTTTTTAACTTTTATTATGATATTTACAACTGTATTAGTATGAATACATCAAGTAAATGTGTACAGAGGAATATAATAACATGAAACACGCTTGTTGAGAAACTACCCATTGGTAGCACTCTAATAATTTGTCTACATGAGGAGATCACGAGGCCATCTTCTTTTCAGACGCCTCGGAGGGTTATCAGGAATCGAAGAGGAAGCAAGGTTAGAAACAAGAGGATTCGGATGGTTATGAAGTTCATTATAGAAGGATAGGTATCTGGATTCGGCCAAATCGGAAACATATGGAACATAGAGGTCTATCCCAAGATTAACAAAAAAAATTAAAAAAGTGTTTGAAAAAATGATCATAATGACCTAAATTTATGGCTGTATAACAATAATAAACCAGAAAAAACATATTTCAAATCTGAAGGACAGGATCAAAACAATAGACAAAAAAGATTTCATAAATAAAATTCAATATATGCAGTGCCCTAAGCAATATATAGGAGAAACATCACAAAATATAAAAAATAGAATTAAGCAACATAAAATGAATTTAAAAATAAAAAAAAACACAGCTTTATCCAACCATGGCATAATAAACAACCACACTTTTGATTTGATTAATGTAAACATTTTAAATGGAGGAAAAACAATAAAACTCAGAAAACACTCGAATCTATATACATAACTAAAAATATAAATAATAATGTAAATTTCAAAACAGATGTTAAAAATATTGGGCCACATTATGTTCATATATTAAATGGAATTAGTTTCTAATTAGAATAAAAACATCAACAATGATATATCCCATTTATATTAGATAATTCCTACAGGGACATACATCCCTTAAGAGCTCAAATGTTGCAGTCCATATTAAACAATAGTAAGAGAAGGTAGTGGAGAGTTCCGTGTGAGTATATGTATTAAATTAAATAAACATGAGAATGTAGAATTGTCAATATTTTAATTTTGAAATAATCTCACGTTTGAATTTTTTTCATTTGTTTTTTTTAATGGATTGATAAGCAATATATTATATTACGGAATCTGTGAATAAAATGTAACATGGCAATTTACACTGTTGTAAACCAGAAATAAGATATAATAGAAAGATTTTGAAATTATTGAGTTTTGGTAAGTCCTCACAGTAGTATTGGTAACATACATTTAATTGTCATTAGATAATTAATGATTATTATTAACAATGTTTTTTGTGTCTTTTTGTAGATGACTTAAGAATGAGCAAACTGCTCGAAACGTTAATAATTAAATAAATAGTTAAATTATAAGGGCTTATATATATCCTTGGAGACACCATTTGTAAGCTAAAATAATTAATTCTATACGGCCATATAACTTACTGAAAAAATCCTATTTTATCTAATTTCTGACTAAAATTGATTCGACTAAACTAAATAAAATTTACATAAACTAAATAAAAGTTAACAGCAATTGAACTGAGGAGTGTTTCACATAGAACACAAAAATAATAATGAAAATGACCGAGACAATGAGTTCTCCAAGAGAAAAAACTCATAGAACAAAAGCTGTAGAGCATCAAATTCTGCATCCACTGAGTACCAACAGTTTTAACATAGGTCACTTACTCTGCTCAAAATCAATATTATAAAAATAAATAAAGAAAAACATTGAGTCAACTATGCTGGAAGTTTAAAGATTTGTCTTTATGGCTATACTAATCTCACCCTTTAAATATGTGAGTTTGTATGGCGCCAAGACCATTCTCACCCCAAACCTGGAGTGACTGTGGTCACTGACATATATTATTCTCTCACTAAAAACTAAAATAAAAAGATATAATAAACATAACTGAAAAGATACTATAAAATATCACCACAAAGGTGCCTTAAAAACATACCAGTAACAGGTGTATCTGATCCAAGGTATCCCTCCTGTTGGTCATGATAAAAAGCCTAAACAGAAAATCAAAGCAAAAAGGTATCAGAAATGGTAATAACAATATTAGTATTTTAAAAAGAAAATAATATTTACCATCAGATCTATGTAATCTCTAGAGATCGACCAAAATAGAAATTGTGGCTGATACCGATATATCGGGCTATTTTTCCCTTTTCTTTAAGGTTTGTACAGTTGCACATGGAAAATTCTACTCATTGCTAAGTAAAAGAATAAATATACCATATACGCATCGCCTTATATACACATTTTGACTGATAAAAAAGAGATAAACCTATTTCAGCATACATAAACCTTTCATTCCTATATGTCTGGTTCCACACAATGTTGCATAGAAAATTGTCGTAATTACTGAATGAAAGTATCAATCAATTATCTAGGGCTAGATCTATATATACATTTCAGCCGATAATACTATTCTAAAAACCTATATATATATATATGTATATACATATTTTTTTTATCCTCTCCTCCCCAAAATTTGAGCTCATACCAATATTCTAAAGACCGATACATCGTCCTTACGACCTCATTTTATCGAGATTCATTAAGTTTAGTTTAATTTAGAAATTATTCTTATTGTGAATAAATGTGTCAATCAATCGTCAAGGAATCAACATAAACATAAATTGAGCCAAGACCGATATATCGGCCTTAAGACCTCATTTTATCAAGGTTGGTAGACTTTGACCACATTTTAAACTGTTTTAATTTTCTTTTTTTAGTCCTATGCTTTCCCTAATTTTAGGAAATACCGATATATTGCCTTATGTCCTTATTTTTATTTTTTAAGATTTAAAGTTGAAATATTATTTACATTGCTAATAAATGTATCAGTGACTGATTGACACATTTATTATTCCAAATACTGATATATCAGTCTTAAGACCGACAGTATCGAGACTATAATTATTATTATTTTTACTGCTCATAAATTTGTCAATCAATCATCAAAAGATCAACATAAACATAAATTTGAGAAAAGTCCGATATAACTTATTTTATCGAGATCGGTAGACTAGGTAATTTTTTTTTATTATTTTTTTTTTCTTACCACCCTTCCCTAATACAAGCAGATACTAATATTCCAAAGACCGATATATCAGCCTCACAACCATATTTTATCAAAATTGGTAGTTGGATTTTTTTTTTGTGTTCCTCTTCTTCCAATTTGTTTTTGTCTTCAGGACCGATATTTTATCAAGAACGGTTGACAATAATCATTTTGTTATTAATTGATTATTATTATTTTATTTATTGTTTGGTCTTTTCCTTCCCCTAATTAAAGCAGATACTGTTATTCCAAACACCGATATATCAGGCTTACAACCTTATTTTATCAAACTTGGTAGAGTTTAACCACCTTCTTTTTTTTTTTGTGTGTGTGTTCCTATTCTTACAATTTTTTTGTATTCCTAGTAAGTACCTTTGACTGGAAGAATTGAATACATTTGATAATTGAAAATTTAGCTGCCCCACAGAGTTCAAGTCCATAGGTCCAGATCTGTTTCCATGTGGTCTTGTAGATTAATCATTTGTTTTCAACTGAAGGACGAGATGTTCTTTTTAGTAATCTGCATGACTGGCCAAATCGTCAGTAGGTCTTGTCTTTTAAGTCTTATATCAGGGTTTTATGTCACTCTTTTTAAAAAGAAACATGAAAAAGTCAAAATATCAGGCAAAACAATGGAGAAGCCTGAAGCAGTTTTATAATATAATGAGTTTAAGAACAGGATAGACAGAATTGACCAGATGATAGTGTACTAACAATGTGAACATAAAATACTTCAGCGGTACGCAGTAAAATTGATCTTCATATTGTTGTAATTATAATAAATGTTCACCAAAAGTTCAATAGATGGAAGTCAGGGGGAAGCCGGAAGAATCTTTTCAAGCTTTGGTATAGCATATAGCCCATGGTAGATACCCCTTTTGATTAAATTATTTACATTTGTCTAAAGCTTCGTGAATATCTTCATCTCATTGTAACCTACAAATTTTTACTCTATGAAAATTCTCAGAAATCGGATGTTTTCTCATTAAATTAATTAATTTAATGAGGTACTAAAACTCATTAATACCCCTTTGCTTTCCACTTGTATCATAAGATAATTTGATCACAAAATCAAGAAAAAAGTGACCTATAAAAATATTGGGCCGTATGGCTATATATAATCTCTTTATTTTGACATGTTGGGGTGGAGGTCACGCCAAACACCCCACTACTTTAGTAGGTCACCTTTTTTATCGATTTCGTGATCAAATTATCTTACAATGCAAATGGTAAGCGAATAGATGTTCATAAGTTTTTAGTATATAGACTAAAGTTACTCATTAAATAGACAAAGTTACCGATCTGAAGATTGAAAACACCCGATTCCAAGACTTTTTATAAATAAAAAAGTTGTAGGTTATGATAAAATAAACTCAAAATGATAAAATAAAGCTTTAGATGAATGTAAGTAATTTTATAAAAAGGGGTCTGTATCGTAGACTAATAATTTTTGTGGTGAAATATGGATTTCTCTATTGATAAATAATTGCTAATGTCCTGGCCATGATAATGGCCCACATATTTGAGTCAAAACGACGGCTAACTCAATGAACATAATTTTTTTACTCCACATTCTGACCAGTTTTCATCCTTATAATTTTAACAGTCAACTATACTGCATAAAAATGAATATGTTTCTTTCTAATAAGGTGTATACAAAATTACCATTTTTCAACCAAATATTTGTATTATTATTTCTTTGATATAAAATACAATTAATGCTCAAAGTATAGTACATTGTTATCTACTGTCATTAGCCATCTACTGGCCAATTGCTCGATCCCACGCTGACACCATTCTTTGGGATGGCTGTCAAAGAATTCTTTGGACCACAATTTCAACTTCCACAAAATTATCAAATTATTTCTCTTGAAGAAAATGGGCCACAGATCTAAATAAGTAGTAACCTGATGGTGCGAGATCTGGACTATATGGTGGATGAGAGAGGAGTTTGAACCCAAGAAGTTCTTTAAACTTTTCTTTGGTTCAATGGGAAGGGTGAGGACGAGCATTATCTTGTTGGAATAAAATTATTTTTTGGTTGATCAAAGCAAGATAATGCTCTGACAACTTTGCGTACAATCTTTCCAGTTATTCACAATGGAGTTCAGAATTCATAGAGCATTCATCAGGAACGAATTCATGATGAATAACTTTCAAAATTCAAAAAAATGCAAAGCATGGATTTTGATTCTGGATGCAGCAACCAGAAAAGCAGTTTGACCGCAATATAGCTATTTCTCACGGGTATTCGGATTTCACCAGTAAACCCACTTTTCAACACAGGTGACAATCAACCAGTAAAATCTCATATCAGAAGGGTTTTTCAATAAATTTTCACAAATTTCAAATCTCTTAGCTGATTGCTGAGGAGTAAGTTCATGAGGGACCAGTCTACTGCTCTTTTTCACCTTCCTAATAGAGAGTAGATGGCAATTAACAGTATCTTTCGAGACACCACACTCCCTGGCAAGTTCACGAGTACTTGTGAACGGAAATGACTCAACAGCTTCCTGCAGAACCTCATCAATATCCATTAATGGTCGCCCCGAGGCCTTCTTCCTTTCGTATTTCCACTGCTAAATTTTTCAAACCAACACCGAGCAGTGCACTGGTCAAGGACACCTTCCTCTTCATATTAAGGCTGACCTGCCACCGAAACCGCAGCTGATCTGATTAGAGCATAGCAAGAGGGAGCCGGCAACCGATTGTGTAGCGGAGTTCAGCTCAGTCAGCAACTTAACTTGCATCGGTACCCTTCTCATATTTCGTATAGCAATTTTAAAAAAGTATATATAACATATATAATATTTTTAAAAAAAAGCAAAGTTGATCAAGTCGGAGTTGAAAAGTAAAATAGAATATTTGTGAATAAAATAAAATATTTGCACTTATACATTTGATAAACAATTCTTCCACATCCATTGCATATTTTACACTGAACCAAAATAAAATAATTTGAGAGGTTGAGCAGTGCAAACAAGCGGATAATATTTTTTTTAAATATATATATATATATAGCACATAAACCATTTTAAAAAAATAGCAAAATTGATCATGTCAGAGATGAAAAGAAAAATTAAATATCTATGTAATAATAATAAAAATAAAATAATAAAAATGTAAATGTTCGTTTGTTCGAAACCGCTGATCTCCAAAACTTCTTCACCAATTGTTTCTGAAATATTGACATAATGTTTCTATCCTATTCAGGAGTATTTTTATATACATTTAATCACCCTCCAGACTTTCGTTTTGGAATGGCGGCCCAAAAATCTGTGTCACTATAGACTGTAGCGCTTAAACGGCTGTAACAATTTTAATTAAACTTGGCTAAAGTCTTCTCCTTGAAGCCCTTTTAATTTATGTACATAACATTCTTTCCCAAAAAGTGTATGAAAAAAAGTTATGATGGGTTCAAAACTATATTTAAAGTACACAATTTTTGTTTGATTTATACCCATCATTATTTGAAAGCTTTCTTGATTTCCTACAAAATGATATAAAAAAAAAAAAAAACCACCGAAATCGAAAAGAATTATTGAGATCATGTCGGAGATGAAAAGAAAAATCAAATATCTATATTAATAAAAATATACCTCGCGCGGGCTCATTACCGCATATGGGGAGCGTCCCATGGGTGGCGGATGTGGGGATGGTCGGTGGAAATTCTTTGGAAGTTCCTCCCGGCGAAGTCCGATGGACTCGCTGACCAACAATGAGAGGGGCTCTCCAGACTTGCTGGAGGGAGGGGACCTCCAGACTTGCTGGAGGGTGTGACGTAAGATTGAACGCCCTACTCACATATCTTTAGTTCACCAAAGACCACAAATAGTCATGGATCTTCCTAAGGTAAAACGCTCATTATCCGGAGGTAAACTAGTCCCCCGTTCGGGTCTCCGGATGGGGACTGCTTTAGGGGATTCATGGCGCAAGTTGAAA